GGTAACTTAGGTAAATTTTGTTCATTGTACCAATTTTAGTCAGTTAATTGAACTTAAAACATAAGTATATTATACTTAAATACAGCATCTCGTCAAAGTATTTAAAATGTGTTATTTATCTGAATAAAGGAAGACTTCCTTTAATCCATGTTTTTATATAAATGTTACAACTTAAATTGAATTTACTCATTTTTCTTCCACTAAAATAAATTATTACATTACCTGTCAAAACAGCTGATGTATGATAATAAAAACAATTGTGGCCAATTCATTTTGTGGCTTCGGAGCTTACATTTTTGTCATGATATAAAGCCAACTTAAATAAAATGAGTCAATGAAACAAAGTGGAATTATATCACCAATACTTAAAATACTGCACACATTTCAGTTCACTAAAACAGCTGCAACACAACAATTATTGTTTTAATTCGCTTTAATTGATGGTGGAGAGTGACTCCACATTTTGTGGAGAATTAAGTTAGTTATTTTATTAAGATGTGTTGTTAGGATTTTCAGATACATGCAGATACATGCACTATGTACCATATATGGTGTATGTATTATTTATTTAGATTAAATAAATATAGAAATATATAATAATAAATAAATATGAATTAAGAAAACAACACATTTCTAATGTTCATTCATTAAACTGTCACTGAACATCTGCAAATATTTGCTTATGTTTTAATTGTTTTAGGGATCTGCATTTAAGCTTAAAGCAAATCACAGGAGGTTGACATGACATGAATGTATCTTATTAATCCAGACAGACTGCATATGAACAAGAACAAGATGCTGCCGAGCAGCTGCGGTGCTTTTGGCATACCTGAATGTGATCGGCCTTATTGGAGGCTATGCAGCCAATGAATTCATATTCTTCTCTCCACAATCCCACACTCCAGAGGTCAAGAATGATCAAATTATCCCTCTGTGCTGTTGTGTTTGACTGCTTTACATGAGTCACCAAGGCAACCAGTAAATGAAATCACTGAAGGATGGTTACTTTAATTCACAGGAGCTGTCTGCCAGTCTGGCATCCAGTCTCTTTTTAAAGCCCTTGCACAGTGGGCATCCTGATGAAACTGCTGATTAGATTTATATTTAAAACGTCCAACTTGCACAAGACACTGTGACAAGAGAGCACATGTTTGCTACTGCATTGTCAGAGCAGACCAAGTCATACGGGCTAGTTTCAATAGATTTTATGTCATTGTAAACAGTGTGGGGGAAAGAAAAGGGTGAGTGTTGCTCACCAGTAGGTCTGCTTAGCTTCCTGCGTCATGCAGTGAATTTAGCAGGCATGCATTGCTGCTTCTTTGCTGCATCATAAAACGGTATATTAACTGCTAGCACAACAATAAATCCCACTGTCAGTCACACTGATAGTTCTTTAACCCACTCTCTATGCTCCTAGTCAGCACTTTGGTGCCTGCGTGTGTGCAGAACCTGAGCTGTGAGATTAGCCATGCTGATCATGTTGAGCTATTATCCAGGTTAAGGTCTTACAACGAGACAGGTGAGCAGACGAAAAACAAGGGAAGGCAAGGGCGAAAAAGTGCCAGTAAAATTACCAAACACACTGATCATTGTAAATTCTGAAGTTGGTGACATGAAGAAAAGTTTCAGTTCACATAATACAGTCTCCTCTCTGTTCCGTTGAGCAGCTTTCCTGCTAATTATTTAGCAATAAAATAACTCAGTCATACTGTAAATGCTATGAGTACACTGTTGAGTAGGTGCTTTGAATCTGTTTCACCCTTCACAAAAACTAAAGTGGAGAATGGCTTTTCTCGCTATCAGAAAATGCACCTGAATCATGCCTGAATCAGTCATGACTAATGCCAACAAATGACACGGCATGATGTGAGAGGTGTTTGAGGCTCTGGTGCATGTTGCTGATTTGCACACAAAATCTTATTCTAACAATAATGTCAGTGATGATAAAGGAACAGCCAGTGGAAGTATTCTGATCCTACACTTAATGCTCAATTCCAAGTAAAAGCCTGCATGCAGCAAAATGTACGGAGAGTATCAAACATGAAATAAAAGTACTCATTATGCAGCACCATGGCTCCTGTAAGGGTTGTTTTACTTACATTATATTATTAAGTAATACTGATGCCTGAATGTGTGAGCAGTATTTTTGAATTGAAATGATTCTGGTGTGACTATTATATGCAATATAATCTATAACAATACTTTATATTTTATAAACTGATCATGTTGAAAATCTGTAAAGTAGCTAGTACAATAGCTGTGTAACAAATGTAGTGGAGTAAAACATGATTTTTACCACAAACTTCGGAATAGCACTTAAGGCCAATACTTGAGTAAATGCACTTTCCATCACTGTAGCCTAAGGAGAGTGTGATATGTAGGCCTCTATGTGAATACAAATGTGTGAATTAAATTGCACACCACGGAGCATGTGAACTATTAAAAGATGGCATGTTCATAGTGTGTCTCTTTGAGTTCATGCTTCCTCAGAGTGCACGCTGACCCAGCATAGGAAATACACTGAGTGAGATGGAGCTTCAGATGTTTAGCAGGGCCAACAACTAAAAAAAGTTCATTTTCTTGATAATATATGTTTGGCATTTTGTTTCTTATTTTAATTTTAATTAATGACTAAGATTCAGATACCAAACACGGTCTGTGCATAAATTGGTGTCAAACCTGAATAATCTATTGAGTTTAGAGTTTTTCAAATTTTTACATTTTGTTTAAATTAATTTTTAAAAAAAAAGTCTCTTCTCAGTGCCACAGCGGCTCTGCGACATTTGTTCTAATGTCGCTAAAACCTCATTTTATTATAGGCTTCATTTTTTTCATTACACTTTACCCAACGCATTTGGCCAAACTGCCATTTATTTACAGTCTCACATTCGGATTTAGCAGACGGGTACTTGAAGGCAGCATTAGGGCCATATCAACGCTCTTGCGTCACGAGCACCTGTAACGCGTCGACCACGGCCAGGTAAGCCTCTTGCTTATAGTCTGTCGGTGAGCATAATTCCTGTGTGGACGGCAAGCTGGAGGAGATGTTCTATATGCAGCTGATTCCTTATGATGTGTGATGGATGAGCCGGCCTCAGTGCGCACACTGACCCCCCAGCATACATCTCTCACCTGACCTGACCTGACCTGTCTCCTCTGCTGCAGTGCTGAGGCACTCAAATCTTTAATAAGTCCCTGAATCTGTCATTAACCCAACTAATGACAAATTGGAGCAATAACATCTGACTGACAGGCGTCACATAACGCTGTTTGTTGTGCATTCCAAATTTTTGCGTGATATCTCATTATGCACTTGGACTCATATAGGAACAGAACCTGTCACAGTGCCATACCTTGCTTCCCCCAAATTGACGCCGATGGGTGCATCTCAAATTATATTACAGCATTAATTATAGGAATATGGAAGATTAGATTTCCCCCGAGCAATTTAGCAGAAACGGTGTCGCTTAGCAACACCGTTACCGCTCAAAAGCTGCGTCGTTGGAAGATGATAAACATTAATCATTAATTAATATCATTCAAATACAGATTTATTGAACATCTGCGTGCTTTCTGTCTCAGTTGAAGCCCGGGGCGCACGCTGGGTGACTTTAGACCCCACACAGGCAGTTACAGATCAGTGCGCAGGTCAAAAGGCAACGCAGCGAAAATGACACCCGGTAACTTTGGAAAGGGTGACATATTGGAGGGCTGGAGTACCTACAGTGTAATTGACGTGTTCACGTTATGAGCAAGCACATAAACTCAAGTGGTCACCTCAGAAAACCCCCTGCAGATTATTTTCCCTCCGCTCAACTTCCCCGACTGAACACTGCAGCCGAAACTTTTTGACGGGAGCGACTCGTTCTGGCACCGATACGCGCGGCAAACAGCTTTAAGAGAGCTCAGCAGAACCAGTTGTGGTGATACAGATTAAAATAGGAACCGTGGCAGATTGGATTATACTTAATGCGCCATTTCATATCGTGTAAGGTGTCACATTCTGGGCGCTGTGCCCTTGTTTATGAGGTGCGTCCGAATTACAATTAGCCCACATTTCACTGAGATTCCTTTGAAGCAGCCACGCTGCACTGTTGTGTAGACCTAACCAGTGGGCCATATTAATTGACCAAATGCACGGGATCATGCTGTGTTTTGTACCATCCTTTTGCGCTCCGTGCCACCTCTCCAAATTACGCACAATGCGTCGCCGCCAAATTAAATAACACAGACTGTATTGTGCCGAAACGCCGCATGTCCAATCATATTGAGTGGTCTTTATTAGTGGGAACAGCGGCAAATGGAAGCCGGCGGATGCTGAGCTCGCGTGTCTTCAAGCAGTGGAAATAACGGGCATGGTGCACGCGAGTGGCCTCTCTCTGATGTCAACACATTTTAGACCTTCTGGGCTGAACACGGATGGGGATGTATCGAATTCATTCTGACACAGGGAACTTCCGAGAGATGCTTTTAATGATCTAAACTCACTCCTGCTGTGTGCGCGCACGTCTGTCCCGCGACTTTAAACCCAGCGTGCGTCCATACGCTCTTTATCTGTACGTTTAAAGATTTAATATCTTCGTTTCCCTGCACTGACGGGTAACCGGACCGGTACCAGGGTCCGGAGTGCAGTGTGCGAGGGGAGGGAATCCCTCCAGTGTCTGACGCTTCCTTTACCAAGGAAACCCACACGCGCTCTGACGCAACTGCCCATTTTAGGAAACATGCGTCAATGGACCAAAGCAAGTGAGACAAATAGTGAACTCCACAGCAGGCACTGACGTCCGCATCAAAAATAAATCTCTCCAGACATATTTTAGCTGCTTTTAGTGTCTCCCAGATTCTCCACGATCTCTCCAGTGTCCGCTGGGCGAACGATGGTCACGGCGGATCTTTCTTTTTCACTGCCTTATCCAGAAACGACCCCTCCCTGGACGAAGTCGCAACGCCCAGGCGTGACGTAGGCTGTTCGTTGGTGTTGAAAAGCCGTTGCAGTTCTTCATAGTGCCATTGAAGTGAGTCATCTCTAGGAAGTGTGGTAAAAAGGAAAAGAAAAAAAGTTAGAACTGTTCCGTGAACAGCAGAGAGCTCAGATAGAGTGTGTAGTAGGCACGGCGACGGAAAATCTTCAGAAGACCAGGCAGGCATTAGGCTTTAAAGCGAATGTTAACCTGCGTGAGTCACTCTCTAACTACAGGTTCACTGTCTGGATTTGACTGCTGAAGGTGTGCTGCTGACTTTAGATTGAAGTTTGCGCACCTGAGAGGATCTCTAATAGTGCAGCGATAGTTCCTGCGGCGCAAGAATAATAAAGGCACAATAAGAAATAGCCTTTACAAGCAGGGCTGGCACACAAGAGAACATTAGGCTAATATCTGGGAGATGCTTTAGGTTAGTTTAGAGGAGCATAATTGCACTTTGTCTTTGCCAACTCTTCTCTGGATATCCCAAATTAACAACGTCTCGAAACAGAGGATTTTCCTGTTGGTGCCTTTTCACTGCGAGGATTTAAAAAAAAAAAAAGGGGGGTTCAGAGCTCAAACAGTCTACTGATATCCTCCTCTTTCCTGGATCATGTACCAGGACTACTCCGGGAACTACGACACCTCGTCCCGCGGCAGCAGCACCTCTCCGGCCCAGCCAGAGTCCTTCACTAGCGGCAGCAGCACGATCGGAAGTCCGATCTCTACCTCAAGCTACCAGGTAACGAGGAAGCACCGGGCTGTCGCCACACTATATATTAATAATAGCCTTATATATCTAGCTGTGTCTGGACTCGATGCCCAGTGCACGCGCTGTTACAATTGCAATTAATTAGCTGTTTTAATTTAACTGTCAGTTAATTTTTTTTTATGATGTTAAGGGTTGTGGCTGTTAATAGGAATTTAGGAATTCTCCAGGTCGCTGTGGGGGAAAAAATAACAGATGAACTCGATGACACAGATTGCATCGGTGACTCAACAGATGCAACACTCGATCTATGCACAAGTATTTTGGACTCATAGCATCTGAATTGTGTCATGGCCCATCTAAACACACACGGATAATGCACTTTTGATCAAATGTCCAGTTTTACGCACCGGCTGGTGCGCACGCAGTGAATGGCGAATGCGTGATGATTTTGGTCATATCAGTAAAAATAAACATGTATTCTGCAGTTGGTCCTTTTTGTATAACACAACTTCTGAACGCACCGGGGTGTGAGGCGGTGTGTGAGCTGTTTGCTGCTGTAGAATCGGGACCATTTTAAATTCCAGATTGCAACATCAGATCTCTTTCTAGCGCTCATATTATTTGCCTAAAATCTAATATTTTGGGGGTGTTTGCAGTGTAGCTCCCGACCGGAGACGCATTTTACGCGCGTGCATTATAAGGACCATAAATCCTTTACAGCACATAGATGAGATACCCTGTATGTGGCTATTAACCGGGGTAGCGAAATAAAACGTATAGCGGAGAATGCAACAGGCATTAACACAAGGGTAAGGAGATGTCTCATTTCTTTTGGCCATCAGTTAAAAGCTTTGGAGAGCACCAGAGCCGTGTGTTGTTGTTGATATTAGTCCAGTTACAGGTGGTATTTGTGGCAGATATGTCTCTAATTGAACTATCACAAATGTCATGAACCAGATTGTAATCTGATTTTCTCATCTGGTGCTGCACATGGCACATTTCCTGCAGCGGGAAGCGCGCACACACCGGGAGCGCAGGGCAATCAAAAGCATGTATGTCCAAAACAAAAAAAAAAAAAAAAAAGAAATTGCCGCGTTCTGAGAGGCTGTTTAAAAGTAGAAATTGCATCAGAGGTTAATGTTTCGTATATTCTCAGTGAGCTATAGCCCACATACACTGTAGGCGTGCCAGTGAAGCGCTGGGAGGACGCCGTGCCCCTCTAGTCGCAAATAATAGGATATAAATCCGGGAAGAGGCATGTTGTTTACCCGCATCCAAGTCTTGCGTATAGAGCTCTTCTGTGGAAAAGCCTCGTCAGGCTCACGCAACATTACGGTAAACGACTTTTGGCCGGTATCTACCATTGCTTTGGTTCCCTGTAATCACACACTGCCTGTCTGTTTCCTATTACAGCGGACTGGAACATGACCTCTTTGTTGGGTTTATTGAGACATATCAAAACAAGGCATGCTAATATAATTTTTATCAGACCAGAAGTTTTAGCAGATACACCGAGACTTTTCTATGTTTACTGCAATGCCTCCACTCAGTGTCCTTCACACTCCACTGCGTATACATTCATGTTCTTTTTTATTTTAATGGGGGGTTTAACGCTCTTATATTGACGCCAAGCTCGGCAGAAATATAATTCTGGCTAACTGGCTTGTTACAGCTGGCTGCCTCCCCCTTTACTGGAACTGACCGCGTTTTCACATGTGCTTAACAAATCCCATACACAATGACTCACCAGATAAACAAAGTTCCAATAGACTGCCGGGATATCCGACGGAAAGTCGGGAATAACGGGGATATGGGGACGTGCGTAAATTACGCACACAGGCAGGCAGGCAGTCCGTCTGTGGATATGAAGTAATACTGATCTGACATCAGTTCTCATACTGAGTATCAGAGAGACAAAGTCACACTAGTCTAACCTTCCTTTAATATGCATGCATACATGTTGATTGTATACATTGCATACATTTAAGGATAGGATAGGATAGGATAGTTACATTTGAAAGGGGGGCTCCAAATGTATAATTAATTGAAGTTAGTGTCAAAGATTGAGTGGCTTAAAGTCTTTAGATCAGGAACATAGTGTCTTGCATCACATTTTGGCTTTAGACACACCCGGAACCACAGGATCATTAACTCTAAAATAATCATTTTGTCGGTTCATTTGAATTTGATTCCAACAATCAACATTTTAAACTGTGCAAAATTTAGTAAAAATCACTTTGGAACAGTTATTCCTCTGGATGTTATAAGAAGGTCTATGCCACCATATGAGCCTTACATTATCTATCAACGCAGGCAAAAGTGCAACTTAAATGTATATTTACCCTCCTGACCGTCCAGACACGTGTAACACTTTCCCAGTGCTGTGTTTTGTCTGGTTATTATGGTTATTGTAGTAAATTGAGATGCACTGGACACCTTGGGCTTTCCCACATGATTCACAGCATGTGTCACTGCTCCACTCCAGGGGTTACATACACAGTGTGTTGCCTATGTGGATTGAATCATTACTATAAGAAATGAAATGACGAAAATGTGTGAATTTGATAATGGTGGGTGGCGGTGTGTCTCTGTGATTCTGCTCTCAGCGAAATGATGCAGGACGCATAAGATTATATCAATTAGTTGCATGCATTGGACCAATGCCAGCATGCAGGGTTGATGCCACCCCACTTTTCCGGAAATTTTCCTTTAGATGCCATCATGCATCCCCACTTATGACATCTCTCTCATTCCTTCTCTTTCCAGAAGTACAGGGTCGATATGCCCGGCTCCAACAGTGCCTTCATACCTACCATCAATGCAATCACGACCAGCCAAGACCTGCAGTGGATGGTACAGCCCACCGTCATCACCTCCATGTCCAACCCTTACTCCCGCTCCCACCCGTACGGCCATCACCTGACCAATGGGCCGGGGCTCTTGGGGCACAACTCGCTGGCTCGGCCTGGGGTCATCCGCTCCATCGGGGACGCCAGGGGCCGACGCAAGAGGGATGAACAGGTGAGAGACCTGGGGTGACTATGAGGGGGGAACAGGGCTGCAAAAAGACCACTAGGGGATTTTATATAAGGCTGCACCTTTCTTCAGAGCATATGTTACAAAGCAATTTGAAGTGGGTTTGTTCTGAAAACAAGGCAAAACACATTATCGTCATCGGATATCATTAAATAAACATGTTTGTTTAATGTCAGAGAAGCAAACTGTTGAGTTTATTTTATCATGGCAATAAATTCCACGTCTTTGTATCATTGTTATTCTCCTCACAGTCAGCCAGTAGTAAACAGCTCTTATACTCTTGCTCCTCGCTTCATATTGATTGTGTGCGCCTGTCAAACAGCTTATTTTACCTGCCGTGTTCCTTCTTTTACTTGCCCTCAGCTCACTCCGGAGGAAGAGGAGAAAAGGAGGGTGAGGCGTGAGAGGAATAAGTTAGCCGCCGCCAAATGCCGCAACCGCAGGCGAGAGCTCACCGAGATGCTACAAGGGGTGAGTAGAAACCTGACAATTGGAGCCATCATATCAGCTCAGACTGCTACTGGGTTCTGCTTTAATCATATAAAATAACTGCAAGTCAGTGTAAGTGCTGGAGCATCATGTTCCTCTTATGTGGCAGACACCTCTAGCTAATAAACACCCATGCTTCCTGTTTTGGGGCAAAATCTGTCTGAAAAAGGCACCAAAAAAAAGCAACAAAAGAAATCATTTGCACAAAGAGAATACATGTGGTACAAGAGAAGGAAAGTCAGACTTGTTCAGAAGTCTGGCAGGGGTCCATATTTTTTGATGGGTGATTGAACTCCACACCTAAATTTACAACCTCACATTACTGGTTTGACTCTCTGAGTGCAAGGTCTGAGTGAAGAGATGACAGGCGATGAAAAGCTTTTTGTCTCAGGCGGCTGCAGACAGAGGTAGGGCTGTCTCACGGCCCTGCCTGGCAGACAGTAACGGCAACTAAATGGACTAATTAGCCGAATTACAGTGAGGTTGAGCTTGTCAGGCCTTAAAAAACCCCCAGGAATGGAATTTGCTGTAGGCAGCTGTCTTCATGAATGCAGGACATTTTGTAAAAGGGGCCAATTGCTTGTCTCACAATGCCACATAGAGCCATGCTGCGCACATGCACACACCACAGCCACTGCTTCCAGGGGAGGAAAAAAAAACAAAAATGCCTTCTCGTCTTCACACGCCTATTTTTCAAAAGTCCAAATAAGGAAGTGTCACTTTCCAGTGAAAAGGAGCAGTATCCCTACAATGTCTTCGCTCTGATTGACTGATAGCTTTCATTTAAACGCCTCACTGGGGGCCTCCCCCTCCTGGCACTGTTTGTACGACTTCCTCATACCTTTGACCATGAGTCAAAGTTCTCAGACAGCATGTCAGCTTATCTATATCAGCGTGTTGTCTAGAACTGACGGACGGCCTTTATGGCTTTATCTGGCTTTGTCTTTTATATGACACATTATTGACACACTGTTGAGGCCGATCTCATGTCTAAGATACAAAACTAATCCACAGTCCTCATGTGAGACTCAGATTCAAGCAGAAGGCTACAAGATTACTCGTTGTGAGTCTAAATGGCCCCTGACAAATTCTTGATTTAATGTGTTTATTTTGCTAGTTTCTCTGTTCAGGAAACTGTAGCGAACACACAGTGCCCTCTGTTGGTGCTTTGGGGGAACACAATTTCACTTCCTTACTTTTGAAGAGACTTGTACAAAACTTTGATTAGGCTGAAGATCATTTTTGTAGCCATGTTCTCAATTTTTTGGGTGTTTTATCACTGCGTATTCATAAAAATGCTGTTACAGTGTTTGTTTTCATCAAGTTAAACTATCCTGCATAGGTGGCCTGCGGGCTAAGGTGCTGACCATGAACTGCAGCATCCATGTCTAGCTGTCAAATAAAAGGAAAGATGCCCTAAAAACTAAAAACTACTACTACTCAACTCAAGTGCAAACCTTATCTTCTGTTTGTCCTCCCAGGAGACTGAGAAGCTGGAGGAGGAGAAAGCTGACCTGCAGAAGGAGATCGAGACTCTTCAGAAGGAGAAAGACAAGCTGGAGTTCATGCTGGTCGCCCACAATCCCGTGTGCAAGCTCCCCATCGATGAGCGCCACCAGTCATCAGGGCACCAGCAGCACCAGCAGCAGTGCGCCCCCCTTCCCCTGACCATGCGCTCCAACATGGGAACCCGGGCTCAAATGAACCAGGTGGTAGTGAAGCAAGAGCCGGATGACGACGACGTGATGGGCAAGCCCCAGCGCTCCGTCATCAAGCCCATCTGCCTCGGTGGCGGGATGTACTGCACAGATGGAGACAGCCTGAACACACCAGTGGTGGCAGCGTCCACCCCAGCCGCCACACCCAACGCCCCAAGCCTCATATTCACCTACCCGAACATGCTGGAGCCCGACAGCCCCTCACCCTCCTCCGAGTCCTGCTCCAAGGCCCACCGGCGCAGCAGCAGCAGTGGCGACCAATCCTCAGACTCCCTCAACTCGCCCACCCTCCTGGCCCTCTGAGCGAGGGCTGGGCTCGGTGCAGCTGAGAAACAAACACTGTGGCTGAAGGCAAGCATGAGGATCAACTGCCCCCCCCCCCGTGTCTTTTAAAGACCCAAGAGCACATTCAACAGTCCAGTCCAAGCTGACCATGTGAGCCGTTTCCCTGTTCACGGGGAGACCCACAAGGGCTACGCCATGTGTTTCCTCTTGTTCTGCTTCAGTGTAAAACATTTTTTACTTGTAAAAGTGTGTGCACCAATCCTACAAAGTGTCATCCCTTCGCCATTTCAACTCCAGAGTGTCAACTTGTTTACTGAGCAGACAATTGTGAAGAAAAACATGCCTAAATCTGGCAATTGTGAGTTGATGTGACTAAACTAGAGAGCGCGTTCTTAATATATTTTTTTGAAAATGTTTAAAAAGCCATGTGGCCGACACTTGCACTCCGCCAAGACGAATCAATAAATCACTAAACGAGGTCAGCATTCTACTGGAATATCTGAGGAGAGAAAGAGACAATGAGCAAAGACTTCCTCTCGTCGTTTTTTCCATTTAGATTTGTCCTTTCGTATCTTGGACCTTGATTCAGGAATCGCTACTTAGAGTGTGTACACATTTCTAACGCTATCTCCATCTCTTTAATTGTATTTATGGCCTGTGCTGATTAAATTTTACAAAGTGTTTTGTTGAGACATTGTCCTCTCCTTAATCTGCCTGTAGAAAAGCAAAATGGTCACCCACTGGGCGACCAAAGCACTCCTCAGTGTTGCAAAGGATACGAGCCAACTTTCAATCAATTTCCTCAATACTCTATACCTTCTATTTTGCCATAGTGGCTTGACTTTACAGTAGTATTGGTGTGCTTTTCCTCAGTGATTCTGTACCTGAACTTTACAACATGTTTATGACAAAGTGTATGTGATTTACATTGATGTCAGGGATATCTCTCATGTGTAGTAGAACCCCATCGTGAAGAACGTTGCAGGACCGCAGGCTGTCGTATGGTCTAGCCAGAGTGTTACAGAGGTGGTACTATAATGTAGAGGGACGATGAACGTCTTCGCTTCATTGTGTCAACGTCAGAGCGCTTTGTCTTTTCGCTCAGACAATCTCAAAGATGACATCAAAGTTTGACAAAACCCCTCCTCCACTGGATTCCGTGCGTCTCTCTTTGTTTCCTACATTCTCTAAATAAAGGTCTAACCTTTTTCAACACTGCCTCTCAGGGCAGGTCAGGTTTCAAAAAGCCAAAAAGGTTTGTATGACACATGTAATCCTGTAATTCGCCCATCTTTGTCTAAAAGGAGGGATTTTTGCTCAAATTTGAAAAAGCCACTGTGGTCTAGACTGTCGCCAGCTGCCAATGATGTCAACCCTGTTTATACTGTGTTTGTAAATCTGTCACTTTTAGTAAAGAAATGATGTTTAAATTGAACTCAGATGTGCTGATTTATGGGTGTATGAACATATGCCAATGCCGAGGTACTCAGTGGGAACATAGTGGAAGCCTTGTTGGCTTTAAACAAGGGCCAGACACTGTTCACTCTTTGATAATAAGGAAGGGACAAGAAGACTCTCTCTACAGCTGGCCTGAGATGAAAGAGGGGACACCTTGAGAAGATGTAATATTTCTGAAGTTCTATGAAGCACTTCTTTTTCATTATTTTTATGTGTGTATCTTAAAGGGATGAGGGGTTTTCAATACTGTGCACTGAGAAGGACACAACGGCGATATTTTTTGAATACTTCAAACATTCCTAATGAGAATAATGTCAGGGGTCTAAGGGGGGCGGGGGGTGTCAACTTTGCTCAAACCCTTTTGTTATCGGAGGAATAAGAGTTGTGGTTGGAAGACTTTTGTTGCGCTGGATGCAGAAAAATGGACTTTGCAATTTAATACAAGCTGCTGCTACTTTGGAAAGAACATGTTGGCTGTTTATCGTGATGATGTTGGGTTTAACATCATGTGGATGCGACGGGAAATATTTGAATCCTGTATGACAACTTAAAGGGGTGAAATGATAACCAAAAACATTATTGTGGGCGAGTCTGATGTGTCTGTATGTTGAAATATTCTGGAGCCCCTCGACACACATAGGAAAGCCATTGACTGTAGATCTTCTGTACATGTCATCTACTGTCTGTCGCCTGTTTTCAACTACTATTCCTTCTTTTCCAAATGCTTTAACTGTTTAAAATGATTCAAAATTAATAAAAAAAACAGCAATATGTATAGCAGTGTTTGTTAATTTAAATGAATAATAATAAAAACAATCATTTTCAACCTGAAATTGTCCTATTTCGTTCATGGGAAGGCACTTTTTTCCAAAGGGATGGGACTCAATTTAGACCAGTCTATCACCACCCTATTTATTTATCCATCTGATCATTGCAAAATATGTGAGACTGGTTTTGACTTGGATGGTGTAATTGAAAGGTGACAAGCTGAAGGCCAAAACATACCTGGCAGAAAACAAAGACAATTAAGGAAAGAGCTACCACAAAACAAACAAACTATTATATCATAAGTCCTTCAGGAGCCTATAATTGCTTCTTTAATTCTTCTCAGAGCAATAACACAGAACACTAATACTGCCATCAATGTAAATAACTTGAAATTAAATTGTTGTAAGAAGAATTATCCTCTATATGATATATAGTGACAAATACACATCAGTTCTTCAGAATACACTATGAGAAGGCAGCCTGAATTACTTTTACTGTAAGGCTGATTTTAAACCACTAGAGGACAGTTTAATCTACACCCAGCTGCCACTTTATTGGTACCTCTAGCTAAAACTAATGCAGTGTAATACAACAGCACAGCAATAAAAACCTACCTTTATAAAGGTTATAATAATTCAAAAAGGTGCTGATTCACTTGCATGATCATTTTGGAGGATGTAATTAGGGTGCTGTTGAACTGCTTTACATTATACAGAGTGATCTGTTATTACACCCATCACAATGTAAATGAAGCTAGGTTTTATTGCAGGACTCTTGTACTAAACTGTATTTGTTTTAGGTAGGCACACCAAATAAACTGGCAGCTGGGTGTATATTCAGTGTTTCAAATTATAGTCATATTATGATGGTACTTTGTCCAGTTAAATGCAGTATTTTACCTTTCTTATGCAGCAACAGTTAATTAGAATAAAACCTGAACATTAAATAACATTTCCAGACTTCACTCACAAATACAGTGTGTAGTATTATATGTAATTCTCCAGGCTCATGTTCCTTCATTGAAAAACTGAACTACCAGGTCTGTCAAAACTTTTGGATGCACTAGACATTAATGAGTAGAGGACAGTACTGTCCTTCTACAGACTAAGTTGTATCAGCTGCAATAAAGCCACACAACTGGAAAATTCATCTTTCATCTAATTCCAGTAAATTCATTCTAATGCAACATCCCTGTGCTATCACTGTGAATGTTTTGTCAATCCCCATTAAGCTGGAGTAGACATAATATTAGAATCACTGCTGTATAGTTTAATAATAATTTAAAAAAAAATTCAATAATATATTTCAATTTTGTTTTACATTGAAAGTGGAAGCTGGAAGTGTTTAAGCATATTATTGTGTCTGTTTTAGCTTGTGAATTATGGGTGTTTACTGCACTCAAGTGGTCACAATGGGAAATTACAACACTAGGATTAAAGGGATAGTTCAGATTTTTTTTTTAATGGGGTTGTATGAGGTCCATATTCAGTGTGTTACCTGCAACAGAAGGAGGTCAGTACTCCTCAGGTTTGGAGATGCAGACAGGAGTCCCAGCACAAAAGCACAGTAATGCACTGCTGTGGACAGGGGCAACAGAAAAAAATATTTTAGCAAAATGAAAAAGGCCCACCTAAAAACAAGCAGTATCAGTTTAGGTGTACGCTATATTTAGAATATTTTCACAACTTGACTTTCCGGTCAGACAGCCCTTTCTGATGGGAAATTGAAGCCACTATAAGCCACCAAACTCTTTGACAAAAACAGTAATTTTTCCTTGCAGAACCCGCGAATTGCTGATTTACCACTGCCGTGATTGGTTAGGTTGTTTGTGTTATTGTGTGACTTTGGCGTTTTAACACAGTACAACTCCGGAGTCTCCTTTGTTCTGTGAAGGAAAATTACTGTTTTTATCAAAGGAGTCTGGTGGCTATGAAGAGAGCATAGATGGATATCGCAGCTTCAGTTCCCCGTCGCAAAGGGCTGTCTGAGGGCAATATAAAGCTGTGGTTCAGCCTTGAAACAACATTTCTTTTGCGTTAAAGAGTCTGATGCTTTTTCTCAAATGAAAAGAAATGAAATGAAAGTAGCCTCTCGCTGAGGTTGGACATCCAGTGCAGAACACATGCTGCTGACTACGTACGACTAACCTGCTGTGTGATAAATTAAGGCCAAACAGAGTCAGGGTGCTGCTATTGTGCATGTTTGTAATTAAATGTAAATGTAAATTATAATTAGTATCATTGGCAAAAACCTGTGTTTACCCTACTATTTCATGACAAAATGACTGCTGTGAGAAAGGTCTTTTGACATGTAACCAGCCACTGTGAACAGCTTTCTGTGCTTCATCTTTAAAGAAATGACCTCAGTCTCACCAAATCAATAACATCTTCTAAATCGCTGCTTAAAACAAACTTTTATCTGAGCTTCAGTTCTAATTACATTGATTAACGTTTTTATTTTTTTTATCTTGGCTTTCCAGACAGCACAAAAAAAACCCTTCCTGCTGTACATAAAATCGGATCCATGCCTCTGAAACCCCACAGTGTAGTTGTGCTCAGCGTATCATTTTAAGAAGATGTCAGAAGAGTGTAATATGATTGTGTTTGTGGACCAGCGCCCTTTAGACGTCAATAGTTGAAATCCTAGCACGGGCACTTTCTTTGAAATCAGACACTGAGTTTCGGGAATGTTTCAACCTGGTCAAGTGGTTTAATTTAATTTAATCGTTTCAAATGAATTTGCTTGGTTTGCAAAGACAGCTGTGACAACTTAGAATGAAGTGTACATTTGTTGAGTTTATCCAGTCATTATTCATTACAATAAGGACATATTCTATGATACACACACACTTGCAGCTAAAATAATCAAGCCAAATAATATGCTACACACCCCTCTGATCTATATTTTCTGTTTATTGTATATTTTGTGTACATGATCACAAACAGTGACTATTGTAACGTGGACGTACAGATTTCTCAGTTCCTGTCACTACCATGTGTGGTTGGAGGAAATCGATTCGACCCTGAGATCTGATTACAGCTCAGACTGAGTAAAAGATAGGTGACCTTTTATTCGTCTTTCCTTTCCTTTTCTTTTCCAGGTGATGCTTCCGCCAGAATGCAAGCTTTTCCCCTTCCACTGTAAAAGTAGCATTTCATGAACACTCCCTTCATTTGAACACAACACGTTCATTGTGAGGGAATGTGCATGTGCTGAGTAAGCAGAACAGCTGATTACCCCACAAGGGGATTTAAAGGAAAATTGATTGTGAAACTTGTGAAGCCACCGTGACTGTAGCAGAGCAGTAAAAGGTAACAAGGCATGATGAACAAATGGAGACACTGAGACATTATCATGGTCTTTCCGTAACAGGAATGTGATCTTGTGATATAAGTCAATATTGGATTGTATTAGACAAAAATAAATTTCTACAAGCACATATACTGTATAATATTATTCAGTAAAAGGAAGCATTTCAATTTGATACAACTCACAACGTATTTCCAGGCATACGGCGTCATTTAATATGCTGCATTGTACAAGCAGGCTCAAATAACGTGCCATGTATAAATGGTAGTTTTTGAGTAAGTGTTGTCAAATACATTATTAAAGATGGAAAGTAGAGTTCACAGTGAAGAATCATAATAATGATAAAAAGAAACATCTTCATTTACAATGATATATATTAATCTTAACCATTATGAATTCATTATTAAGTCATTCATTATACCTGTGCTTTTCCTGCTATAACATGTCAAAATGTCTGTGGTGAACAAAGCCTGTTAGTGAAGAAGTTGAATAGGAAAAATATTGCAAACCTGAAACCAGGGTTCTATTGGATCATTTGCTAAGGGAAAAAACTGCACTGTTAATAAAAATGTTTGAGGAGGGGGTGCATACTGCAAAGTCAGGTGGTTTGGGGTTTGCCACTGCATATGACCCCTGTCACATCATACATGAAACTGAAAGTGACATAGTTACAAGCTTAAATGTGATGGCAAGTTAGTAAGCAGATTATTCCAAAACACAAAAAGTGTGGACCAGGAGTGCCGCTTTTAGACCAAATTAACTCTGGTTCTTAAACTAGTTCCCTTCAGGTTTCAATAACATTTAACAATAAATAATCTTCTTATTAGGAATAAACCTGCCTCCTACACAGTGTAAAAAGTTTTATAAACACTGATCTAGATGGATAACTAGCATTATATGTAAGAGGAATATAAAATATGTAATATGAATAAAATATGCATTTTTGATTGTGGGGTGAACTGTCCCTTTAATATAAAAAATAATTATTAGATTAGCTTTAAATGAACTTTCTGGTATATCCATTTTAGCAGCCTTTCAGTTAAACTCCTGCATGTGTAAAAGTTGGTGAAAATAAGTTTTAAATAATTAATGAATTAATTTAATTATTTAATTATTTAATTGAACCCGGTCTAAGCTCATTAAATGCTAATTAACATGGCGCCAGCTGCAATGATTTTAGATGGACTGGGTTCAAGTTAGAGAAGGAAGCAGGCTGATATTAGTGATTTGTTCATGTGTGGGTAAGCGGGAGGACTGGTTGCTTTGGCCGTCTGTGTTTGCATGAAGTGTGATGCCATGTAGATGTGGAAGGGACCAGCCACACTCCAAACAAACAAAAGCATGTTCCCACCACTAAATTCAAAACATGGAACTGGAAGGTTTGTTCACATTAGATTTGAGTGAATGCTGAAGAAAAACAGGCCTATATTTTCAATTACGATCAATTGGGAAACATGTTTTCCTGTAATGTGGTCAGGAAAAGCTGAGTGGGCCTTTAACAAATATGAAACAGTATGAACTGATAGGAGAAAATAATTGTAGAGAAAGGAAGAGTGCATGAAAAGACAGATCAGAAAAATAGACTGAATTTTTATAATGTGACCTAAATGATATCAGAGTATAAATAAATAAAGAGCAGAAGCTCAATTCAGCAAACCCGATGGCATGTTTTCACTTTCGCAAGCAAGGAACTTCCAGTGCTCTTGTTGGATCTCATGGGGGTCACTAACAGGTTCATGCTTTCAGTCCCCACAGCACAGACACTATCTCTATATTCCTGTGCAGGCTGTCCTTCAGTACTGAGATGACATCACAGATATTGCTGACGTTCACTTATAGCAATGAACTAAATCTGAGTGCAGCGCTGTGTGACTTTGAGCGTTAAGGCAGGACGCAGGAGGATGAACCCAAGCATAGAAAGTGACCATACCCCTGAGTGCTGACATAGACGTTTATTTAAGGCCCAAAGACACAAGCTGCTTAGCAATTCCTTGACACCTGACAGCTGCAAAATAGCAAAAAATGCTGTAGTCATCCGCTGCCAGAGAAAACACTCTGACTAAAGATCCCCACCACCATGATTTATATTAAATCAATTGGACTCGGATAAAAGTTTCTGTTGTGTACAGTATTGGCATTGTTTGGAGGGCAGCTCGGATATTTGGTCTGTTTTCATTGATCGGCACATTCTTATCTGTGGAAGAGATAACAGAGACAACACACAGAGATACTGTTGATGAAGCAGCAGGACGGAGAGCATTAGAGCACAGCATGATTAAATGTTTGCTTACAGATTCAACACAACTGTGAAACATAACCTGTAAACAGCTGCATGAAAGAAATATAAGAAATCACAGTTAAAAGACTATCGATACTTATCGAGGGATGAATTGTGAATTCAGCACTGTGTGAGGATTCTTATTGACTTTAATTGTTGTTGACCAAAGCACATTGATTAAGAACTCATTACACTGATGAGCAAACAAACAGCGAGACGCCTCTCCTTGTATTAAGCAATTAAAAGCCCTTTGACACAAATTACATCGATAAATAGCAGATGAGGACTTCAACAGCATGGCAGGACTGGAGACAAGCTTGGACAAAGGACAGGAATGAATGAACAACTACAGAATGCTGTGTCATTTTTTTTCAGTGGGCATGAATTTGGAGTTGGATGTGACTTAGTCTTTTGCTGTCACACTTTGATGATGCATTTAATGGCTTGAAAACAGGCTATTACACTTGTGTTGACTTGTGCATACTGTCAGTGTTAAAGGAACAGATCTACATCTTGTTGAATTATTAGCTTTTTGCCAAAGTTAGATGACAACATTGATACCAATCTCGTATCTGTACACTGTGTAGCTGGAGCCAGCAACAAAAAGCCCGGAGAGGGGAGGGAAAACAGCTAGCCAGGCTCTGTCAGTAGGACAAACAAATTCTACTACAAACAAATACTAATCTGTACAACAATTGGTTGTTTTACATGGAGTTATGTGCCATAGTATGTCTTGGTTGCCTGGCAACTGGTCCTGGCTGTTTGGACAGAGCCAAATTAACAGTTTTTCCTGTTTCCAGTATTTATTATGCTTTATTAAGCTTAAAGGTCCAGTGTGTAACATGGAGGAGGATCTATTAGCAGAAATGTAATATAATATTTATAGGTATATTTTCATTAGTTTATAATCACCTGAAAATAAGAATTGTGTTTTTGTTACCTTAGAATGAGTTGTTTCAATCTACAGAGGTAGTTGGTCCTCTTCCACGGTGGCCGCCATTTTGAACCGAACCCTGGCTCTCTTGCGACCACCATAGTTTCTACTATACGCTTGGAAGGCGAGTGGTATTCAGTTGGTTGCAATCTGCAACTTCAGCACTAGATGCCACTAAATACTACAAACTGGACCCTTGCTAAGGTAACCAGTCACTGGCGCAAGCCACACATACAGGAGATTGGTATCAACCCTTTCATGTAACTCTTGGTACAAAAGCAAATATGCAAATTTTGCGAAATGTCAAACTAATCCCTTAAGACATGAACACATTTGTCAAGACACAAGAAAAAAGACCTGACCTTTGAATACTAAGCCCCCATTTATTTTAGTCAAGAGTATCATGTATCATGGCTGCAGCTTCTTTTACAACTTCTCCTGAGTTGTGAGTGCTGAAGGAGTTTGTGTTTTTAAAGATTTTGACATCCTGGTACTCTCTGTATATGCTAGAGAGGGTTCAGTTATTGCTTTTTCTGAGGTCCATTTGTCTTTGCCTCTCATAGAACTTGGAGAATTTATTGAAGATGTTAGTAATGGGCAGAGCCACGATCAGCAGCCCACAGACGATACATAGGGTTCCTATCAGCTTCCCAGCAAGTGTCACAGGAAAGGTGTCCCCGTAGCCCACTGTAGTCATGCTAATGGTGGCCCACCACCAGCCTATGGGCATAGTCTGTAGCTCTGACTCTTGACAGTCTTTCTCTACACAGTAAATGAGAGCAGAAAACATGGAAATGCCCACAGACAAGAAAAGCACCAGCTGCCCAACTTCATGTGAACTGTGTTGCAGTGTGGCACCAAGAGAGCGAAGACCAGCTGAGTGACGAGCCAGTTTTAGGATTCGAAACACTCGCATCAGCCTTAAGATCTGCACCACTTTGCCAACATTCTCCAGGTCTGTGTTCTCACCTTCATCCATACTATCACAGGCTATAGTGACATAGAAGGGCATAATCGACATTAAGTCAATAATATTGAGAGGGCTGCACAAGAACTTCTTAGCTGATGGCGCAACAGCCAAACGAAGAACAAACTCTGCAGAGAAGAACAAAACAAAGAAGCTCTCGAAGAAAGTCAGCACCGGGTTTTCAATCTTTTGCTCATTGAGATCCATTTGATGGATATCCGGCATGCTGTGGATGCACATGGTAACAATAGAGCCAATGACCACACTTAGGGATACTATAGCCATCACTTTGGCTGAAGTAGAGTAACCTGGATTCTCGAGTCGAAGCCAGATATTCCTGCGGACGTCTGAACACCAGGAACCTTCAAACATTTCTATGTTGTCCTCCGAAGCCGACAACTCCTCAATAGACGAGTCCAAGCTGTGGAGCTGCAGTTCGTCACTACTCTGATCCCAGGACTTATCATCAGCAAGCTCCATCAGTTCATGGAATTTGGTGCTGCAGCAGAAGTCCAGGTGGCGCTCCTTGATGCCCCAATACTCGATCTCTTGAATAAACGAGACTACGCACAATCCGTCCACCAGGTGGATTTTACCTGTGAGGTAAAAGTTGAGAACGTAGCAGAAGAAACGCGGATTGCGGTCAAAATAGTACTCCATTTCAGAGGGACTGAAGTCGTCGCAGAGCTCCAGGATTGCTTCTTTGGAGCTGCAACACAGAAGGCGACCCAGGCGTGTCTGTGGGAATCGTTTCAGAATGTTGTGCTCCATTTGTTGTTTGAAACCACCAACGTTGACATTGATAAAGCAACCGTCAGGGATGTGCCGATGAAGGATCTGTCCATACACCATGATGGAGCAGCTGCTAGATGCTGTTCAGCTATCTTTGGCGAAAATCTCAGAGGCTTGGTCGCCTGCACACGAAGACACTGATATTAGTACACCTCACACTCATTTGATCACACTGAAGTGCATTACACCAGAGCCGTCAAGTATCATGTTGCATCTGGGTTTCTGTGACACCCTGTTATGGAATGGTTAAATGACAGCATCACTTGTGGGGACAGATAAAATGTTTCCATCAGGCATTGAAAATGTATAGTTACATTTCTATTTGTCACAAGTTACATATAGGTTACACATCATGGCAGTACTGTACAGTAGTGGTCCTACACCTTTTTGGTATGAAGGATCTCCAAATTGATACACATCAGGCCGTAATAAGATGCAGTCTCCATAACTGTCTATACTGTCGATTGGCTCATTAAGTCATTCATATACATATACAAGTTTTAGTTAATTAAATAATAGTAAAAATTAAAATTAGTAAAATATTTCCATTTTTCTGGGAATGCCCTCAAGAACCCCTGGGGGCCCCAGGAGAAGCACTGCTCCACAGTATGCATTTGCATGCAACATTATAAAACTTGTAAAATTTGCTAGATAGAGTTAGATGTGCAAAATTTAAACAAAAATGACCCTAAGCCTGAACACAAGAACAACTGGCTCATTACATTGCATGCATTGTCAACCTAAGCTTCTATTAAGCAACTATTGCTGATAGAATTATATGCACCATTAATGTCTTTACAATAGACCTCTATGATACCTAGTGTGGCCAACCTTTTAGATGCAAACATTGACTATTTACTCGTAAACAGTCATCAATACTGCTGTCACTCTGCTTATAGCTCTAAAACGAGCAGCCCTGTCTCACTTGTATTGTGTTACGCACGGATATATCGCGTTTCAAATTGCAGCGAAATGGCAAACCAAGGTCAGATTAGACACGTTTCTGCAGCAACAAAAGTTCTCAATGTTTTAGACTGTTTTAAAACCGATGGCGACGCATGAAAAGTCAAAGACTAAAGTGAAACAAAACTGACTTTGTGCGACAATTGCAAGGACACTGGGACTCTTGCACCAAATTATCCAAAAATCGTGCACAAAATCGAAATACTACTTTATATTCCAAATAATGTCAATGGTCGCAGCAAGACAATGATGTTTCCTGTACAAGCATCTGTGCATAAAGGTAGAAACTGGAAGGAATGATCACAGCAGCGTACCTGTCCTGTCCATGTGCTGTACCGGCGGCGCAGATGTCCTGCTGGTTCACTTCGCTCAGTGTACAGTGCGGTGGAGGGGGGGCTGGTTTGAGTCCAGCGCAGGGCGGAACGCAGCTCCTAACAGGACGATTGATCACACGGCTCCTGGCACATCATTCCCCACTAACAGGCTGCTTCATACATTAAAACCTGAATGTGTAATGTGCTACCATGTACTACCCGGGGCGCGCCTGTTCATTAAGGTGTGCCAACTTTATCACTGTAAATATTTGATGCTTCTTCAGGCTGAGTGCTCACATTATTCTGTACAGGCTGCTGCTGTGTTTGTTTTCATCTAACTGTGGATATATTCTGTGGAATTTTTGTTTGCTCTGCTGATTTTTAAAATAACTATAATTTAGTTATAAAAATAACAGTAAGACTAATTTAAAGCTAACAGAATACAGCAGAGGGGGTAGAATTAATAAAAAGTAATAAAAAAAAGAACTGGTTGAAAAGAAATAAAATAGCAAAAATAGAGTATATCAACCTTTGAGAGTGCATCATTCTTGCCTTCCTTAGTTGGCTTCCAGTAAAACACTAAATCATTTTCAAAATCTTAATAATCACACACAAGGCCTTGCATGGCATGGGCCCCTCATATATATTGTTGACCCCCCCATTACTGCTCCCAGCCACTCCGATCTCGCAACCAATAACTTTTGTCCCACGTACAAATCTTAAATCCAGGGGTGTAGCTCCTCTTACTTTAGCTTCAGATGTACTGATTCCATGATTTATTTTAAGGGATTGTTAAAACTCTGTGTGTATGGAAGTGTATGTGTTTGTATATTTGTATTTTACATGTTTTAATCCGATATGTGAAGCACTTTGTAACTGTGTGTTTTAAAAGGTGCTATAGATATAAAGTTATTATTATTATTACTATCATTCACACACACTGTTTGAAATTATGCACATGTGATTCTGATGCAGTTTGATGAGCTGGCAGCAGAGGGAAGTGTAAAAGTGTGCAAGAAAGCTGGTGTAGATTTAGTGTCACAATATGCCGCTGGAGTTGTGTGTGGTTTTAAACATGCAACATTACTATCTTACTATGTAGTATTAGCCTTTATGGGCCCAGTGACAGTTAAAGCTGATATAAAAGACTTATAAAGTTAAAAAACTCAGTAGTTGTTGGGGGCAACAGACCTCCACTTTAAAACCTGCATGTATTGGCACTTTTTTATAAGCGGACATGGAGTATCATTTAGATAATTCATTTTAAATTACTCAAATAGATTTAAAAAAAACCCTTGGTGAGTGAGTCAGTGTCATGGCCTAGCCAAACCTTAGTAACCTTTAGTCAAAGTTTGAACAATGACTGTTAACGATGCTGTATCTGACCCACTGATGCCATTTACTGACAGTAGGTGGCAGGAGAAGATCAGGTCAGCGTGGTTAGCTGACATGCACCAAAACAATGAGAGCAAGACTACAGCCATGAGGATTTGGTTTTACAATCAATTCCTTCATGTTATTTTCTGCAACCATTAACCCATTATCATATAAAACCAATTAAAACCACAACACAAGCAGCCCTCATTGTCTGACCCATAGAGATCACATACCCAACTGTAAGAGTTCCAGCACAGATACTTATTTGTTCCGCACTATTCCCAAGTGCAGCGATGTTCTCAGTAAACACTATTAATGGTGTGGGTATTGATTGCTGCGGTTTCCAACTTCACCAGCTGGTGATAATCTCCTTTGCAGAACAGTATTTTCCACATCATGTACAGTGGTCAAAAATGCAGCATGACATTAAAAGGTCAGCAGAATGAAATCCAATCAAAATACATGTTACACTGTTGTATATATGTGACAGTTTATTTACTGCTTACCTCCATATAAAAATAGTTAACAAAGCAGTTATATTCATTCATGTACTTTACAACATTGAAGGTCAAACAAATACATTTAACTAAATTATTACAGACATATAAACTAAAGCTCAGTGAACATATATTTTGCTGTTTTAAAAGTTGTTTCAAGAACTTAAAACATTAAGTTGAAATGAAGTGCAACTATTTCCAAATACTTTTAAAAAGGAACCTGTATATAGGCTGAAGTACATTACAATGCTTTAAATGGTTTAATGGTTTCCCCTCCAAAAATGAAGTTATCCTATCCTGCTAGAGAACTGTGACACAGCAGGCAGTTGTTAAATTTGTGGATCTCTCGCTCTATAGCGCAGTGTTTACACACACTGCACATCCAGAACTGATACTCCTGGATCGGTAGGCCTGTCACAATGCACGTGGGTAATTTTCCTTCCACCCTAAAAGGGGAAAAATAGAATTAGTTGATGTCCATTTTAAGGTTACTGCACTTCTGTTTTGACAATAGGGTAATGAGTATAGCTAATTTAAACATACTACAATGAGTTTTTAACTGGTTTATTGGTCATTTAATACTGATGCCTCTATATGACCTACAGAAACACACGAGATCATCAGTGTGAAGCCTGGCTATTTCTATATAGTTATACTTAATGCCTGCCACAGAGATTCCTCTTCGTATCACTGAAACAAGACAGTGGAAACACTACCACCTTTGTCCACAGGGGCCGCCAGAATCAACACAACATGAAAGTTCTTTGCTCCTTTAAAATTTTGAGTTATGACCAGTGTTTGTAAGGTGTTGTTTCCTGAAACACAGCCTTACCCTGGCTACTACTTCTGATTCCTACTTCAATACTAATCATTTAAAAACACACCCCTGATAATGTTTGGAGGCAGAGTTTTATCTGAACTCACCCCTCCGATGATCCGTCTAGCTCCACCGTGCGGCTGTCTGTCGGGCTGTGCTTGGTGAAGATCACCAGGGCCAGATCCTCGTAATGCTGCCGCTGTTCTGGGTCCAGACTCTCTAAGGACTCCAGCTTGATGAAGGCCTGTGAGCACGTGCCAAAGGCCCGGTTGGCTGCTGCGCAAACGGCGAGCAGAGAGTAGATCTCCACCGCTGGGATGATGTCCTCATACTCACGCAGGTGAAGGGCTTTAAAAAAGAAGAGAAATAGTGAAGGGATAGACTTCCAATTTGTTCGGTTGTATCTATTACAGAAAATTAACTTGGCTTAGTGAATGTGAAAGTTCCTCTGGGGTAATTCCCCTCAAGAAGACAGTGACAAAAATTGGCCCTCGGGTTTACACGTAAGATGGACCCAGTTTTGCATAACTCAGGTTTTGTGTGGACTAGTGGAAATACACTCATTATGTATGCATCCTCAGTCAGTAACAAGGTGATTTCCAGCAGCTCCAACCAGGACTCTGACGAAGACACGGAAGGGACAAGCCAGGACAGGAGAGGTGTCAAGCAGGAGAGGAGCGAGAGGGAGGGAGGAGTTGTGCGGCAGAGCTCATGCACAAATATAATTGTAATCATTGTTCGTTGGGCTGACGTTGGCCTGTTGGAACATTTTTACATATCGCCCAACCCTACAAGGAAGCTAAGCTATGCAAGTAGGATTTAAAACTGTCAACAGAATCAGGCATCTTTATAAGATATGGTAAGCTGCAAAAGCTCACAGGCCATTTAGATTCAATTTGTGAGACAGGAGAATTTGGTGAGATCAGAAGACTACAGATATTAAAAAGGAAGCATGGTTTGAAAGTAAAGCATTGTACTGTGCCATATACAGAGCTGCCTTTGATTCTAAGATGAAACAGGAGGCCGTCTAATAAGGCTTAGACTGAGATGAGTGATACAATTAATACTTACACATTCTGAAGTTTGTCCAGGTGCTTTCTCTACTTCTACTAGTTTGTATAGCTAGTAAAGATATTGATCGCATGACTGAATACTGTCCTACAGTTACTAAAATTATACTAAGGTATCTAATTTCATAATGCTACACATATCAGCATAATGCCTACTACAAAAATGTGTGGAGAGATAACCTGGGAAATACTAGACTTCTTTACTTTGTTTTCTTAATAAGACAAAACCATATTCTAAGTAGTCTAACTATCTGCTGTACTATATAAACTAAACTCCTTTCTGTGGTGGAGTGTGATTTGGTACCTGTGCGCATGGCTTTCTCCATGTAGCCTTCATATAGCTGCCTCTGAGCGAGTAAAAAGAAGTGATACGCCTCCGCTCCACGCCAGGCATTGTCCACAATACGATTGTCTGAAGAGGAGGCATCTTCCTCAAGCAGCCCAGCGAGTGCAAATGTTGCCTAATTACAGCAAACGAAGGACAAACACAGTTTAAAGTGCACTGCTCAGTGATGCCTATATCTAAAATACAACATAATATATAGTGTATATGTGTAAAGTATACTGTAATACATTACCTCAGACTTCTTCCCTTTGGCTTTGCTCTGCTGTGACGTCTTCACCTGCTCATGGTAATTTTCAACAAGAAGTGCTGCCAGCACATAGAGCTTCTTCACCCGCAGTGGTCGGGTCCTTTTCTCCGCCTCCTCATCTGCAATCTGTAACAGTAGACACAAATCCCATGGTGCTGTATGTGCCCACAAACACATCACTCCAGCAATTAAGTAGCTACATATGAGATTAAAATATATATATTTAAGAATAATCTTTCTCTGAGTTATTCAATTAAATTCCCTTGTGTCTTAGCTCATCCATAACATCAAAAAATGGCCTTCAACAAAAAGGTCCCAGGTGTGATTCACCTTTATTCAAATTATTAACCCTGTTAAAAATACTGCTTTAAGGGTGCTGATGGAAGCTGAAAATCCCTCACCAGTTTTATTTTCATTAAGATGAGCATAAAAACACTTGCTTACTTTAAACATGAGTTTGGCTGCGTCAAGAAAATGGTGAGCTTTCCGATAAAGTTCCACCGCCTCTAAAGTTTTATTCTTCTCAAGCAGATGTGAAGCATATTTGGAAAGAAGAGATTTAATCTCCTTCATGTTGTGGGTCCTGGTGAGTTCCACTGCTTTGTTCCACTGTTGAGAAAATGACGATTAATTCGACATATACCGCATTTAAAAAATAACAAGCAAACCTTCCTGAAAATAACCCATAGCTGCATATCTCACTTACAGTCAGAGCCCAACAGTTAGATAACAGTCTTTTTTCAAACATTCTGGGGAAGGTTAAGAGGAAACTGTTAAAGTGACAGCCTGTTCATTTCATTGTCAAAAACATAGCATTAACGCAGCAGGAGAAACTGCAGAGGAGGGAGGAAGTTGGGACTGCTAACAACTTGTCCTTTTGGATTAACACACGGCCAATTAGAGCACAGATTTAACGTCCTTTCAACTACATTCAGCTGTGGCTAAGTAACAGCTGCAGCTTACATTGCTTGTGTAAAGAAAGTTCTTTCTCTCTCAGGGTCCAAACCTGAACAAAGAACAGTTAAACAACCAAAAAATGGTTGAACCAAATGTTGGAATTTACATTGGACAAGCATAGTTTGGGAGCAGCATTCACACTCCAGGGCTAAATATCACTCAGGAAGAGGATGGGGGTGGGAGGACAGCGGGTACCACAGTGACTGCTGTGGTCCAAAGTAGTCTTAGTGTGTGTTTAATCTGAAGACGGTGTCCCTCAGAAACTCTTGGCGCCACAGGTTTTCTGTCTGTCTCTCACCTGGTTCAGATGGACACAGGTGTCAACGGCAGCTTTGGGCTGGTTGCACTTAAGGTAGGCGTTCACAGCCTGTT